GAAAAGGATGAGGAACGCCGGCTCGTGTATAGCCTGTGTGTACGCCCGACGGTTCGTGTTCCCCCATCTGACAGTTCGTGCGCCCTTTTAACTCTCTCTCCTCTATCGTTTTAACTTAATAATACTCTCTTGACATATTGCAGAGGACCTGACACTTGAGACTCTCGCTCCCTCTCTTTCTATGCACTCTCTATTTCATACTCCTGCTGCTTCTTTCTCTCCGCACTCTCCATTTCAGCCTGCCCCCCCTCTCCGCTCTCCATTTCCGCCCCTCTCTCTCACCCTCTACCTTCCAAGGAACTCTCTCTCCATTCCGCCTGTCTCTCCCCCCGATTGCCTCCTCCTTCCGCCCCTCTTTCTCCTCCCGATTGCCTCCTCCTTCTCTCAGTCTCAATCTTCCGCTCTCTTCTCTCTCTCCCTCTCATTACCACTGCTATGACCCTGCCCTTTCTATCTCACCACTGCATCCTCCGCCCTCTCTCTCTCCCCCGCAGCCTCCTCCATCCCCGCCCTTTCTGTCTCACCATTGCATCCTTCACCCTCTCTCTCTCTCTCCCTTGCTGCCTCCTCCATCTCTGTCTCTGCATCTTCCGCCACCCATATCTCTCTCCCTTGCTGCCTCCTCCATCTCTGTCTCCGCATCTTCCGCCACCCATATCTCTTTCCCTTGCTGCCTCCTCCATCTCTGTCTCAGCATCTTCCGCCACCCATATCTCTCTCCTGCTGCCCCAACTGCCCCTGATGTTGCCCTCTCTCTTTCATCCCTGAATCCTCCGCCTCTTTCTCTTCCCCACTGCCTCCATTGGCACACACTCTCTCTCTCATCCCTGCATCCTCCGCCTTTCCTCGACGACCATGCCGTTGAACTCTGTTATTCATGGCATGAGGATTTGATGCTCCATACTCCTCTAACCCTGCCAATGTTACTTGTATCCATGCAACATAACTTCCCTACGCCTTTGATCATACTAACTCATGTGTTATGTCGAGTTAATCTTTCTCTATAGTCCTCAACTTGGAAGGTTGACTGTGTTGGAGTGAATCTTCTTCTTAGTAATAGAATTGTGAAGAAACACAAAAAAGAAAAAAAGAGTGGAGTTTAGCATGTCTGACGATTTATCTTTCTTATAGAAAGGGGTATTTTATAAGGACACATCGGTCCAAGGTACACCATACAACTACGATAATAATTAAGAAACTGTGGACAACATGGGCTTAGCATGAACAGCCATTGAATGGAAATTTGCTGATTTCAGCCAAAGATAATTCTTTTCCGAAAGATCGAATATCCAAAATATTCAGATGTCAAACATTGGAATTACGAAAATGTCTAGTATACCACTTATTAATATATAACTTGTCGACTAGCACAATTCTGTTAAACATCAAGTAGATGATGACGCCTCAGTATCCTTAAGGCATATTTGATCATGACAGTCATGGGAATTCCCATACACTATAAATAAATAGAATTTAACATGCCTTTTTCATAGGGTCTACATATTAAATAGAAGTCCACGAGGCTAAAATCTGTTTTAGTTGCAAATTCACGTACTTTTTGTGTAAATAGCAAATTTTGTGGAGTTATATTTTTGTATACTACGAAGTCCATTGAGTATAGTTAATTTAAGTTGCCAAACTTCCATTTAATGAGGAACTGGAGAATGGGTTGTAATGGTAATTGCAGTCAATTTAATTGCTGCTATCCATTTAGGAGGACTGGCTCTAAATGGAGGGGTGAGAGAGAGGGTGCGCCAATGGAGGCAACGGGGAAGAGAGAGAGAGGAGGATGCAGGGATGAGAGAGAGAGAGGGCAACAACAGAGGTAGTCGGGGCAGCAGGAGAGCGATAGGGGAGGCGAGAGATGCAGAGACAGAAATGGAGGAGGCAGCAGGGGAGAGAGAGAGGGCGGAGGATGCAATGGTGAGTGAGAAAGGGCAGGTATGGAGGAGGCACAGAAGAGAG